TGCGTCAAAATGGCAAAAGTTGCATCCAAAGTTTTTGCGAGAGCACTGTCCCCCATGCTTGCATGGGGGTTTGTTGCAATAGGCGCAAGGAATCTGGCCCTTGTACTTGCACTCTCGGTGATGGTGGCGACATGGTTGCTGACACTCAGCACAAAGCGAAGCTTCACGGTCTCGGGGGCAAACAGTGGCAAGCCGAAGGCGCATGTTCTCACCCTTCTTCATGACCCAACAGCGATGGCCCAACCATGCTTCAACATGGATCGCCGGATCGGCCTCCTCAAAGATCCACATGTTGGCAGGGGGGCCGGCGTAGCTCGACTCTTGGCATTCGGCATGGCTTGGAGCAGCATTGACTGCGGAAGATTGAGGCACCGGCAAGGGCCAGGGCGGGGTTGCCAACTTCTGTGGCCATCCTGCGTCTTTTTCACCCTGGTCATGGACTTGCCCATCTTGGCGATCCACTTTTGGTACCCCTGCTGTTGCCTGCATGGCTTCTTGGCGGACCTCCGGAACGAAGCCAGGGTGATCCTTCTCGTGCTCATCATCAGTGTCGGTCAGATCTGCCCAAGATGGCCTGTTGCGCGATGGTTTCGTCACCATGGAACTCAGATCATCAGTGTCGGTCAGATCTGCCCAAGATGGCCTGTTGAGCGATGGTTTCGTCACCATGGAACTCAGTTTCTGCAAGGTCAGATCTGCCCAAGATGGCCTGTTGCGCGATGGTTTTGTCACCATGGAACTCAGATCATCAGTGTCGGTCAGATCTGCCCAAGATGGCCTGTTGAGCGATGGTTTCGTCACCATGGAACTCAGTTTCTGCAAGGTCAGATCTGCCCAAGATGGCCTGTTGCGCGATGGTTTCGTCGCCATGGAACTCAGTTTCTGCGAGCTCCGCCCCGACCGCTTGAGCCAGTCTGAGGTCAGCCAATCCAAAGCGACAGGCAATGGTTCTGGTGATACAGTAATTACTGTTCTTCATCATGGTGATGCTGATGATGGTAATGATGGTGATGGTTGTTAATTATGCTGGTGCTGATTGCAACATTCACTCGACCATCCCACCGCCCTGGGCTGCCCTGCAGGCATAGGTCACCATGGAGCGATGCAGAGATTCATCACGAAGCGCGTAAGCACGGGCGTGGTGATCACCGAGAACATGTATGCGGATTAGGCTGGTTATGGCTGGTTTATGAATTTATGGGGAAATTTACAGGAAACAATGGGTTTTCCATCAATTATGATAATTATGGGGTTCCGGAGATTTTGCTTAAGGGCTCAAGTTAAGGGCCATGCAAAAGTAAGAAACATTACCAGTACCAGTAGATTCCTCAGATAGTGGATTCACAGTTCAGATCTCTTCAGGTTAAATCCTGTGCAGTGTGTATCAAGTTCCTCATCTGCTAGCTTTTCTTAGTCTCAGACTTTCAAAGTTGAGCCATGTCGAGCCACTTCCGGCAAACTACTCTGGAGGCTTTCAGATCTTCATGGGCTTTGCTGTGTTGCCACTTTGGGCGACTGGAGCCCATGTCCAACGCCAAGACGGACCTCCCATCAGTCCCACAAAATGGCTTCGATTGACTCCTACACCAGCAAACCTGACCTGCACAGTGCGCACCATTTTTTGCGCCAAAGACGATGTCTCTCGTCGTTGGATGCCCTTGTGACTAACTTAAGCATGGCAAGCGCAGGCAGTTTCAGATCGAATCCTTGCTGCACAAGTCAATGGACATACCCAAACGTTAGGGTGCTTGCTGGCGAACTGGCTCATCCCCCAACCATTGAAGTCATCCCCTTTGGCTTCAACCTGTAGCTGCAACATAACACAATCGGGGGGCCCAAATGATCACCCTTGCAGCTACCCTTGAATATTTGAACTGCACTGTCCTTGCACCAGCACATCCTAACCTATATACACCAGTGACATCCTACCCTATATACACCAGTGACAAGTGAAGGGTTTGAGCTACAGCGGCTACAGCGGCTACAGCGGGCAGTTGCGCTGTCGCGCTGTGTTGGAAGATAGCCATTGGCATCCAATCCACGAGCAGTGAAGCGTGCCAAACCTGCACGGTCAGTGGCATTCACCGTATCAGGCAGCGAATCAGTGGAAGTTCATCCCCAGACACAAAAAGAAGCGACCAAAATCATCAGCAAATGACAAGGGAAACCAATCTCCAGCCTCATGCACTGCAAAGCTGCGGCGACTCCTGGGGTCCAAAATGCTCAAACTTCCGAGTTCCACGGAGTCTAAGAACTTTGTCTTCAATGTTCCAGTAAACTAAGTGTCTTGGGATCTCATGAGAGTGTCTCACAAATTCAAACTTTTGGAATTGGAGAAGTTAGCAATTTAATTCCTGAAACTCATAAACTCGGAGTGAAAATTTGAATGTTTGGATTTTCAAAGTGGAAATGGCTCTCTTGTTCCGTACACTTCCTGATGACTTCCACTAATCCATCCTCCAGGAGATATGGCTCGGGCGGAACGTTGGTGGAGAGTAGTTGAAATCCATCCTTCGACACACAAAAGGAGGAGCGACAAACAACTCTGGACGTGCACAACTATATGACACAATTATATATATAACTAATGGTTGTTGATCAAAATTCCTTTATCCGGGAACGGCCATTCTTCGCGAATAAAAATGTTACTTTCGCGAAACTTTCGCGAACTCCATGTTTATCTTTCGCGGAACCTATATGTTAGGCAATCATGATATCCAACTTTCGCGAAAAAAAAATGGTACTTTCGCGAACTCGAAAAAAAAACTTTGCAGGGTTTCCAACATAACATGCACGGCTTTCGCAATAAAAACTCCTTACAAGGACCTTTAGATCGACCACCATATATATCATAGTATATATTATAATATGATGATTCTTGTATTAGAAACTCTGAACAGAAAACGACATAGGATCCATAACATTCCATGACCCTCCAACGCCCCAAGACGCCATGCCTTGGTGATCACACCATGTTGTTCAAACCTCGAGGGCATGCTGGCTATCCACAAGGATAGCTCTGGACGTTGGTGCCATCAGGTTTTGCCATGTGGCCAAATTTCATGTCATTTCTATTGGCCAAATTTCTGGAAAGCAAACAAAAAGGTTCACAGCACCTGAAAAGATGGGCACCTGGGCACCTGTGTGATACACACCCCAAGGACTAGGGCTAGGGTTCTTTACCAAATATATAAATGCGGTGAAAAAAAACTGTTATGACTCTGACCCTGCCAGCTACAAACAAGGCCATGAATCATCAAATCAATCAAATCATTAGGACCCCACCAAATAAATGAGGCTATCAATACAAACAAATGCCATAAAGATCCAAAAAGATCCATAAAGATCGTCCAATCACTAGCTTCGCATCTCAAAAAGCCAAGTGGTTGTTATGAGTCAAAGCCCCGGTACCCTGTAGTACTGTAGTTCGCACCAAATAGTTGGTATTTGTAAAGCTGGATGTTGATCCCTTCAAGTTTATGGCTTGCTGGAACATCCCTCATTTATGGATGATGTTCCCATGAATGTCTCTATAGGAATTTCCCAGTAAACCATATTACCATGTTGATTCCCAACGGGTTTGTCTCCCACTGCCATGTTCGGTGAATATTTCCCCATTACATTCCCATTATACATCATTGTACAATATTGTGCCACCATGTTTGTTGCTTAACTCCAAGGAGCTTCACACCTTCTCCGCCCTGATCTGAACCGATAAAGGCCTCGACGCTCAGTGTCCTTAGCCAAGCAGCCCGGCCCGGCGGCTGATGCTGGAGTTTGAAGAAATCCAACAAGGGAAATCCATGAAATCCCCTGTAAAAAAACCATCGACTATCATCAACTTCCCAAAATGATCGAGAATTGCAAGTCACTTGAGCTGTCTGGAAATCTGATCAAGTTGTTGAACACTGAGAAAAACACAGAAATCGACCTCCACGACTCATTCCTGATGTTTTGGCCCGCCAACAAACAGTGGCTGTCTTGAACCTGTCACTGCCCCACTTCAAATTTTCCAGGTCTTCTCTGCAAATACATGCAAATACTTTCATCAAGGACCCTTCTGTAGTCTAAGTGACGCTTGCACCAGGTGGAACAACAAAATCTTACAGTCTCCGTGGATCTCTGATCATTAGTATTAAATATATTAGCCGCAAAGCCTATGTAAGGATGGGTAAAGTGCAACATGTCAACATTTCTGAACCATCAAGAGATTCCAAGGAGCACCTGAGTCTGCGGTCAAGTGGCATACCTTCTTTCACGATGCCATCATACCCTGGCAGACTCTGGCAGACTCTGGTGTTTTGAAATGGGAGGCACTCGATGTTGATCACAGCACAACGTTAGTGCCATGTTCGATGGTGACAAAGAAGCAAATCTGTGTGCATGCCCAGATGTTTATGATAGAGTCTGACAGTCTGGAAATAAGCTATTTTTCATTCGGTCTACAGGAAGGTGTAGGACAAGATCTATATTTATCACACTTTTCGAGCAACCATCTCTACCTCCCACCATTCTTGAGACACTAACGGCAGCATTTTTGCCGCCGAGAAGCCGTAGGATGCCCAGTCCGAGGGATGGAAAATCCAGGGATACTCTCCTCAGCAGGATCTGATGACACAAAATTGCCCAACAAATGCCGTGGATTTGCAGTGGAGGAATGGGAAGATCACATCATAAGCACAGCATAGTCTGGCGAACTGAAAAATGATAGGACAACGCAAACCTGTTTAAAGATCATGGCACCAGTCCTACCTTGTACTGTAGCGTTCTGATTCTTTTTGGGGGGATTGCTAGCTACATCTGGTTACATCCAGAGTTTCCAAGCAAGGTTCCACTCATCCCCGTCCCATGGGTTTGCACGTGGTATTTGTGCGCCTGAAACTCTTCAGGGATGGGCCAGGCCTTGGTCGGCGATGGCAAGATGAAACGAAAGTGTATTGAAAGAAAACACACCAAATAGGATGCATTTAAAACAGGTGAATGCGTATGATTCTTTGATATTCTTTGTATTTTGAATGAATATGTTTGGAAAAGCGATGAAATAATAACCAAAACATATGGGTCACTTCACTGCATAATGCATTAAGTTAATTCGTGAACAGCCCAGGACTCTGGCAATGTGATGCTGCCCAAGTGACGTTAAAGGTGACGTGTTCAAAGGAGGCACCAGGAATTAGAAGCTCCATGTTGTGCTTAACCATCTCCTCTGACAGTCGGAATACCAGCATCAATGGGTTCCTACACTGTTTACATTACTTATTATCACTATCGCTATTATCATCACTATCATCATCTATATTATTATCATTAATTATCATTAATTATCATTAATTATCATTAATTATCATTAATTATCATTAATTATCATTAATTATCATTAATTATCATTAATTATCATTAATTATCATTGATTATCATTGATTATCATTGATTATCATTGATTATCATTAATTATCATTAATTATCATTAATTATCATTAATTATCATTAATTATCATTAATTATCATTAATTATCATTAATTATCATTAATTATCATTAATTATCATTAATTATCATTAATTATCATTAATTATCATTAATTATCATTAACTATCATTAACTATCATTAATTATCATTAATTATCATTATCACTATATTAGCCCTATATTATCACTAGATTATCATCATCATTCTTAGATAATATAACAATGATGGTGATAATTATATTAATGTCAATCCTATCTCCGATCTCCAGCACGCATGGACCATCTCCCCGCTCCATGGCCAATTTGTAGTGTTTCTTCTGCTTCTCCGTGGCTTGAAACCCTGGCAGGCCATAACCTGCGGTGAACGTGCGCGAAAAGTCCACGTAGTAACCTGAGGGCGATGGCGATGGACATGGGGAGAAACAGAAACGGACGGGAAACGCCGGCATTTTGTGAGATTCCCTGATCAATACACCATTGAATTGATTTTGAAAGGGTTTGGGGTCGCAATTGTTTAGGACACATATGCGGTCGGGTAGTGAATGGATAAACAAACGTTACTTGAACAAACAACTCGTGGAAGTATTATCACTATTGTCTGGCAAACACCGGCCATGTATGGAAAAACATGTTTAGGATACATGCTGCGAGGAATGGATGTGTACTACATCCTTTGAAACAGTCCAAACATGTCAAAAATGACTTGTAAATTGCCTCAGAAAACTCTGAAACCGTGGTAGCCTGCAAAGCACAAAGCTTTGGGGTGAATGTGGAGACACATTCACTGTCACACTTGCAAGAAATCCGAGACCGTGGGAAATGGTTTTACATGATTAATGATGATTGAAAACAACAACACATGAACTTGTATCAAAATCACTGCCCCACCATCCCCAACCCTCGAACATCCAATCCCCGACCAATCTCCACCATCCTCACCAGGCCCGTGACCAAATGGTCCCACAACGTCTGTATCCAACTGGACAGTCTCCCCTATGTTGATGCGACGGGTGCCGCTCTCCTGCTCATGCCACAAGCAGTCAAAACACTGGTGGGACATCATTCATTGCCCCAATGGCCCGCATTGCAAATATTGTGAAAAAGTAATAATTTGGTTGAAAATCAAACATGGCAGTCAGTCTATCAACAAAATCATCAAAATCATGATATTGAAACAAATGGTGGCGGTCCAAGACTGGAACGAAATGGGTTCATTGCGTGTCCGCAAAAACAAACGTCCATATCCGTTTCACACGATTTATTATATTGATGTTCACATGTTTGGCCCTGTTTGCCCTCAATTCCCAATGAATCAACACTCGCCACTCGCCCAAAAAAATGGTTGCGGAATGCTGTCGATTTTTAATTTTGGTGTCCAATAAACCGTGACACCCTCACATCCCTTAATGCCACCAGCGTGTTTATGGTGGTGCCTGCATCCAGGGATTGGTCTTCGGGCCAGAATTCATCAGCCGTGTTTCCGCATACTCCCCATCGCAGGCAATGACCTTGAGAGTCACAGAAAAAAACAGGTTGGCGGTCAACCGTTGGCAAGACAAAGCACTAACATTGCATTGCCATGCGTGAAACGAATACAAAATATATCAAAATATATCAAAATATTATGCAGCCAAGTCTCTGTTGAATGCAATATACTCCATACCTGGCACTTCATCACCATGTCCGGACATAATTTTTTGTATTTTTTTCAAACTGTTCCCTCACACAGCCCCTGCTTACTTGGAAAAACAAGGGTGCCGGCTGTCTCGCCGCCCACACAAGGGTCAACGAGTGATTTCTCTTTGTTTTTTTGAAATTTGCTTCTCGCTGTGGTTTCGGAGTGATTCACTGTCTGTTTCACCTGAACCAGGGCTTCAAATTCACTGCGTTTTCCAAGGTTTTTTGTTCCTCTTTTCAAATGTACTGTTTTTTTCCATGTAAACTAAGGTTTTTTTTTAAGGTCCGAAAAAAAGTTTATTTTTTTGATTTTATGCAGTAGATATACATATATATATATATTTTAATGTATATCTATCTCTCTATCTATCTATCTATCTATCTATCTATCTGTCTATCTCCCTACATTACAACGAACGTTAACATGCCCCACCCCACCCCAACCCTTCAGTTACGTAGCATTGCAACATGTGTGCACATTACAACGAAAGTTAACATGCCCCACCCCACCCCAGTTACGTAGCATTGCAACATGTGTGCACATTACAACGAACGTTAACATGCTCCACCCCACCCCAACCCTTCAGTTACGTAGCATTGCAACATGTGTGCACATTACAACGAACGTTAACATGCCCCACCCCACCCCAACCCTTCAGTTACGTAGCATTGCAACATGTGTGCACATTACAACGAACACTAACATGCCCCACCCCAAAAATAACAACCCTCGTGGGGGCGGCGAGTCAGCCGCCTACCAAAAACAAGCAAACCCCAACAGAAAGCAACCCACATGATTCGGTTCTGCTGCCCGCAAGCCTCATTTTCTGTCACATTGGCCTCTGGCTGCGACAAAGCATCGCGTAACCGATGCACCCCCCTGGCGGGCAAACGTGGGGGAAAACAGTTGGCAAATTGTTGTTTGAAATTTGAGACTCTTATGTTTTTGGACAAAATCAAAACAAATGGCAAACCTTTAGCTTTGTTCAAGCATTTTTGCATATTTTTGCAATATTTGCGGACCCTCGTCAGACGGAAGGAACTTGTTGGCGCACAAATAACCCTCATTACGATCAGGCGAGGGTCCCTTGCGTTTCCTTTAGATCGTTTTGCCCCACCTATGCCAACATAGTTACTGTAGATCCTGGCTCAGCTCTGTGCGCGTCATGGGTTTCCTTTGTTTCTGAATTTAAATTATCAACCTATCTTCTGTTCCCACCAACTTGTGCCGTCAGGAAGCGCCGCCTGTCCGCTTCCCCTTTTGCGCTGCCGCTGCTGGCGCGATTGTGTCGCGCAGCTTGCGCGATACGCAGCTTGCGTCTGCTGCGAGTAGGCAGCGTGGCAAGGCAGGCAATGAGCCCGGAACAGTTGTCCACGCTGGCCCACGCTAGCCCCGTCAACGTGCGTGAACCCCTGATTTCAGCTGCCGTGCTGGCGCCGTTGCGCGATCAGCTTCTTATGCGGCCTGGCTCTCTGGGCCCGCTTGCAGCAGCAGGAGCTTTGCCTCGGCCTCGGATGAGCCCGGCAGCGCCCAGGGAGTCCGCCACCACCGCGGTGACGCACTCCATGTTTGGGCGCTGCCGAGCTCATCCGAGGCCGAGGCAAAGCTCCTGCTGCTGCAAGCGGGCCCAGAGAGCCAGGCCGCAACCTGATCGCGTAACGGCGCCAGCACGGCAGCGTGCAAACGAACCCCCTTCACGTCTTCTCGTCTGCGCGACTACGCGCATGCCCCCCCAGAAGCCAAGAACACGCTGAGCATCTCGTCTTCCACCATCTTGAGCGCACAGTCATCCATGCTGCCGTCCCAACACTTTACTGGGATAGTCTTTGCACGGGCAGTTGCACCAGTAGCTTCAAGAGAAACAGAGGGGCAGCTGGAAATGTACAAGATCGACGATAGATGAAACTTGCCAAAGCTGCATGCCTCACACTCTAAAAGGACTTGGTCCAAGTTCTTGAAGCCGACCAGAGTGTCTAAAGTTTGACCGGGAAGCACAGGAGCAGCCTCACGAGAGCTGCCAGCATACAAGAGCCACACTTCCATACTCCCCGTCAACCTCGCTCCATCTGCAACCCACGGCTTGATGCCAGTAGCTGCCTCCAAAAGGCCCTGGGCGGCCTTCACGGCCAATGGCCTGGACAGGGAGGTGCAGAAGGCCAGTTGGCACACAGATTGCTCTTGCTTTGTCAAAATCTCGTGGATCAACTCCACTGCACGGGGCCGAAAGCGCAGCGAATCAGGATGGACCGTTGTCTCCTCAAGGTCCAGCAAAATCAAACACCTGCTATCAGCAGAGACCTGATCTGCCTCCATCAGCTCCATGTCTGAAGTGGAGCTTTCACTTGGCTCATACATTGTAGGTAAATTCGTTGTTCGCAAGCTAGCCGTGTCAACTGCAGGAACCGCCATGTTGACCTGATAATCCAGTCGGTGGCCCAAATGGTCTGTTGCTGTCACAGAACCACAGCCTGGACATGGACACTCTTCACGGCCCCAGCAGAAGACACACACGTCCATACCTAGCTCACAAGTCTGACACTCCAACCAGTATATGGACCATCGGTCGTCCAGAGCCCCACAATAGAAACATGCTGCCATTGCAACAGTCCCCCGTGGAACAACAGAAAGGCGGGAAAAATGACAGTGAAAGCACTGACGCAGTGTATCTTCTTGTCTATGCCATGTTGATCTTTGTTGTTCCACGCCTGTCAGAAATTGCTGAGAAATGTTGAGAGACACCTTATGGTATATCAATCAAGATGTACACTTGGACATAATGCTGCAAATCTAACCAACCATGTCCAATGCAATTTCAAACCGAATTGGAGCAACTGTGCATTCGTCTCCATTGTTGCTTCTTCTATCCTTTCTGTGGTACTTCAGCCTGGAACTTTGAACCATAGAGGCTCCTGAATGGAAAAGAGTGGTTCTGACCTGACTGACTTGATGCTCTGGACTCTGGACATCCTCTTGAATGACTGGGGTGCTGCAAGGACTGGAGAAATCCTTACTTGGCATCATCTTTCCATGGCAAAGATGGCAACGAGATCAACAAATGATAAGAATCTGGTTTTCATCCCTCTGAATCTCAGACTTGCCGAAGGTGTTACAGACTGTTACAGAGCTTTTTTTGACCTCTGGCTAAAATCCGTCGCAAGGCAGCGACCGTCCAACAATGATTTTGCATCGTTTTATCTCGTTCAGTGAACTTGTAGATGAATCAATGGGCCAAAAAAAACAGGGTTGTTCAATACACGAATCGGCCAAAGCCCCTCCAAACCCTGTGGGTCCATGGGGAATCCACAGGCTTCCTGAAGTTTAAAATACACCCGTGATCACCCGTGCAATCCCAAGCCATTCTGCCCTCGCGTCATGTGCGACAATCAGCTGAGGCGCTCTTCCACCACTTTGATGCCGTGGCGAATGGCCACGATCTCCTCCTCCGTCTTCAAACTTCGCGCCTTGCGCACGGCCGTGGCAAGACTGTTTTGTGAGATTGAGTCCCTGATGTCCTGTTAGGAAAGTCATTGGGTGATTTGAAAAGAACATACTAAGGCTTGGAAATGGAACACCTTTCTGATCTTTCTGCCACTTGTGACAGAGTCAAGAATCTTTCACTCGAATCAGATGTTCTACTTGTTCTACTTGTTTTCGACTTACTTATTGATGATAATGATATAATGATGATAACGTATGTTCAGGTCATGCGAGACAATGTCTCTATCTCCCACTGCCAATTCCAGGCGCATATTCGATGGGGATCTGCGCGTCGATGAGGTCAAATCCTTCCGACCGTGGGGATGTGAAACATTGATTGGGGCTCATGGCCAAATTGCACTAATTCTTATCATAAATGGATATAAAATGATATAAATGGCTAAAGAATCACAACATGTGGTCAATACTAGATTGATCTAGATTGTCTGGTCCATCTCGTCAATATTGATTTCCTGCTACCATTTTTATGGAGGGTGAAGGAGTCAGATAGTTGTAAGGTTTGTGTTGGCTTTTTGCTGCTTGACATCTTGATGGGTAGCAAACCACTGGTGAAATTTGCAAAATGTTGGAATGAAAAAAGGAAAGGAAGGTCCCCAGCCTCTGTCTCGCAGTCCACGGGTTGCCCTGGCGGCTTGTGGCTGCAAGGCCAAGCAAAGAGACTGTGACATTTTGGAGGCCTTCCTGCAACTTCAAATGGAGGAAACTGATGGTGATAACAGTGATACCTGATGATCAGACATGCTACGATTCAGTCCGGCAAACACACTCAATACGGCGGGAATTAAGGTAATCATACTAGCAATCAATCAGCGTCATCATCGTCGCTATCATCTGCATCAACATCAAAATCCACATGTACAGCGACAAACACCAACAAACATCAACCAACTTCAACAAACTTCAACAAAATCAACATCAGCAAAACTCCCCCCGGTTTTAAAGCCGTGCCTTTCTTGAAACCGTTCCACAGCGATGCGCTTGCCGAAGGGACTCGTCTCTGCCAGCGGACCTTGTTTACAAGGGCTTGGAGACCATCGAATAAATGGTGCAGTATGGTGCAGTTGCAAATCCAAACAGGTCTGTGGCCATCCACTAGGCGTCAGCACTAAGAATCTCATCCATTTGATTCACCCAGTCATCGATCTTCTCATTTTCACGTGGACCAGCCGAAGCCATGGTAGCACCTCATGACGGTCACGACCCGAATGGAAAGTGCATGAAATGTCCAAAGACTAAAGGAGTGCCTACTTGAACCAAACAGCTATCATGAACTGGGCTGGTGTTCTCTGTTTGGCGGCTTCCAGTGATTGGAGGTGGAAACTGTTGTAGTTGTTTTCATCTGTCTTTAACATCGACAGATCAAAGCCCGAAATGCGGCTAAACTCACTAGGAAAGCATCCTCTCCACTTCATCCTTCTACCCTTCCTTCCCGCCCGCCTATGGCTGGATGAAACTCCAGCGATCCATTGAAGGCTTCCAACAAGGCGTCGGAACCAAAGGATCCCGCGAAGAGGAGACACTTTGCACCTCAGGGATAGATCACAATGGCTCTGGGGGTGTGGAAAGCATTGTCCTGTCATACCTCAAATTGTTCCAAGATGGTGCCATCTGGTTTCTTTCAATCCTACCTCAATCTTCGTCCATGCTCAGTTTTGGCCGAGAAAAAAAACGACATGTCTGATGAACCGAGGCACTTTCGTTGGTGGGCACCACCAGGTACTGCAAGGGATTACGCACATAGAACAGAACGGAATTGCCTTGGTCCCAGCCCATTGAAAGACCCAAAAAGGGCTCAACGGCTCAACGAGTGAAGTCATCGTTGTCCATGTCCATGCAGTCAGGCTGCGAAAGTCTACAGCATACCTGCACGCAACAGCACTAACCCATCCAAATCCTACCTCTTTGCCTACTGATAACATCTGATAACCTCCCACGAGAGAACAGAGTATGGCATCGCCGAGTATCGTAACTTTTCTAAATGTTCAAACAGTGCTAGACACTGAAAATAGACATGTGTTGCAAAAGCCATTGAACGCAGAACGCGCATAGAAAAAGAAACCAAGCGCCCTGTTTGTTTGACTGCAGAAGCCTCAATTGATTGACAATTATCCTTGCGACTGCAAAAGGTTACTTGTCACCACAACATCAAGAACACAAGTCTTAAAAAAACTAAAAAATATTAAAACACGCTGAGCTGTGGATCTTGTCATAGGAAGGCTGGCAACCTGAAACTGCCGCCGCGGCCTTATATTGATTGGATCAAAAATCACTGCCGCCGTGACATTGTGGCGGCGCAGTTCTTCCCTCAAGCGCTTCAAACGGCCTCGGCAGAGTAATTTTGCAGGGCAGCGAATCCTTTGTGGATGTCATAAACACACAAGGAGGACAGATGGTCAACCCACCACTACTAAAGCTTATTTGATGGAATCGGCACAATCAACCTGCTTTTGTGTTTCTTTTGCTTTAGACAGTCACCAAAAATCTCAATTGAGCTCCCAAACACGTCTGAAATCGTCAGGAGCGAAAGCAATTTAATTTCTGTCTAAATATAGGACCCCCAGATCACATGATCCTCAGTTTCCCCACTCAAATGGTGATCATTTGAGGCATCCTCTGTCCATCTCTGCCATGCCCGTGCCTTGACGGAGCCTAGTCATGAAGTCGACGTCATCACGAAGTCGATCTCCTTCTTCGATCAGTTCCTTTGGCGGAAAACAAGGTGCGTCTGGGCGGTTCCAATCTTGGACTTTTGCAGTCGGAGCAGCCAAAAAGGAATGGGATCCGAGGTGTTTTGAAGCACCCGACGAGTCCAAAATCAGGCCACTCTCACTTGGAATAATGCTCCATGATCACACGGTGGTTTAAAGTTAGTGCAGGAAGCAACCACCAATCCCACCACGGATACCCTGCCAGTGGACACGGTTGCTGTAGCGCTGTGGCACGTCCACCATTCCGGAACAGGATGCATCAGCAAGCCTGTGAAGCCAATCACAGGGCAGGCTGGGTGGAAGGGGCTGCAGCTGACAGTTTGTCCAGAGGGGATTTTCCGATTTACCCACAAGTTATTGCACCTGCGGCCAAGATTGTAGGTACGTATTTGTAGTCAGTGCAAGGGAGTTCCAAACCGCACTTGAACATTCATGAACATTCATGAACATTCATCCCGACTTCATCCCCTTGCCTTGCCCATGAGCTCAAAATCAGCAACCACAGAACTGCCATCATATGCCCAAGTGACACAGCGATGACAGAAACGTGGCTTGAACCGCAGTGAGGGCGTCGTGCGCTGGAACATGGTGGAACATTGACACAGGCAGATCTGGCCCGGCACATCATGGCCCATCCCCAGCTCCCATCAGTCGAATGGTTCCTGTAACTTTAGCAAACCTGACCTGCACGGTGCACACCATTTTTTGCGCCAAAGACGATGTCTCTCGTCGTTGGATGCCCTTGTGGCTAACTTAAACATGGCAAGCTGCAGGCAGTTTCAGATCCAATCCTTACTGCACAAGTCAATGGACATACCCAAACGTTGGGGTGCTTCCTGGCGAACTGGCTCATCCCCAACCCTTGAAGTCATCCCCTTTGGCTTCAACCTGTAGTTGCAACATACTGTACCACCATTGCGGGGCCCAAATGACCACCCTTGCAGCCACCCTTGAATATTTGAACTGCTCTGCTCCTTGCACCAGCACATCCTAACCTACACCAGTGACAAGTGGAGGGTTTGAGCTACAGCGGCTACAGCGGCTACAGCGGCTACAGCGGCTACAGCGGCTACAGCGGCTACAGCGGGCAGTTGCGCTGTGGCGCTGTGTTGGAAGATAGCCATTGGCATCCAATCCACGAGCAGTGAAGCGTGCCAAACCTGCACGGTCAGTGGCCACTGTTTCACTAGAGCAGTTCTTTCTGGGACACCTGAAGTATACTGCCTGCTGAACAGGTGACCAGAAAATGAATCATCTACCGTATCAGGCAGCGAATCATTGGAAGTTCATCCCCAGGCACAAAAAGAAGCGACCAAAATCATCAGCAAATGACAAGTGAAACCAATCTCCAGCCTCATGCACTGCAAAGCTGCGGCGACTCCTGTAAAAAGGTCAACATGGGGTCCAAAATGCTCAAACTTCTGTGTTCCACGGAGTCTAAGAATTTTGTCTTCAATGTTCCAGTAAACTAAGTGTCTTGGGATCTCATGAGTGTCTCACAAATTCAAACTTTGGAGTTGGAGAAGTTAGCAATTTACTGAATTCCTGAAACTCATAAACTCGGAGTGAAAGTTTGAATGTTTGGATTTTCAAAGTCCTGGAAATGGCTCTCTTGTTCCGTACACTTCCTGGTGAATTCTTCCACCAATCCATCCTCCAGCAGATATGGCTCGGGCGGAACGTTGGTGGATAGTAGTTGAAATCCATCCTTCGACACACAAAAGCAGCAACGACAAACAACTCTGGATGTGCACGACTATATGCCACACACATATATATACATATATTATAGTATATTACATATATATATATAGTATATTTATAGATGATGATTCTTGTATTAGAAACTCTGAACAGAAAACGAAATAGGATCCATAACATTCCATGACCCTCCAAAGTCTCAGTCACTTGTTCAGAAAAACATCATCAAGGTGAAAATCAAGAACGCCCCAAGACGCCATGCCTTGGTGATCACACCATGTTGTTCAAACCTCGAGGGCATGCTGGCTATCCACCTACAAGGATAGCTCTGGACTTTGGTGCCATCAGGTTTTGCCACTCATGTGGCCAAATTTCATGTCATTTCTATTGGCCAAATTTCTGGAAAACAAAAAAAAGGTTCACAGCACCTGAAAAGATGGGCACCTGGGCACCTGTGTGATAAACACCAAGGACTATAGGGTTCTTTACCAAATATATAAATGCGGTGAAATAAAACTGTTATGACTCTGACCCTGCCAGCTACAAACAAGGCCATGAATCATCAAATCAATCAAATCATTAGAATCCCACCAAATAAATGAGGGTATCAATACAAACAAACACCACATAAAGTAATAACTATTCCAATCACTAGTTTCGCATCTACCTCTAAAAGCCAAGTGGTTGTTATGAGTCAAAGCCCCGGTACCCTGTAGTACTGTAGTTCGCACCAAATAGTTGGTATTTGTAAAGCTGGATGTTGATCCCTTCAAATTTGTGGAAAATCATAGGTTTTTGAATGCATCCCCTTATGCCTCCATCCGGTAATCACACATGGTTTGCTGGAAAATCCCTCGTTTATGGATGATGTTCCCATTATTTCCCATTAATGTCTCTAATTATAGGAAATTCCCATTACCATGTTGATTCCCAACGGGTTTGTCTCCCACTGCCATGTTCGGTTTATTTCCCCATTACACCCCCGAAATCCAACGTGGAACTGCATGCTATTCCTGAGGTCTCCTAACATGAACCTATGGTACGGTCTCAAGTGGATTTTGTTCCCCAGGAAATCATGCAACGAACTTTTTCAATAAAATCACTCAAAAACTGACATGGAACCCAATGCAGGCCCAAACTGAACCGAAACTGCACCCTGAAACAGCCAACATGGAGTTTGAACAAGTTATCACAAAGCGATCTGCAACCTTGAAGGGTGATTTGAAGGTTAACCTGGAACCCAAGTGGTTTTTAAGGCGTTTTCCTTGAAAATTCCATGTTCGTGAGTTTCGGGCGACCCTACTTTTCACTTCGTATTGCGCTCACGTTTTAATAACTATTCAGGTTCCAGGTCTGTGGTGGGGAAAGAACTGAAACCAAAACACCTCCAAGAAAAGGTCGTGACTTATTTTTGGATATGTGTTGGGTTCCGTGTTCGTCGCACAACCTTCCAATGTAAGCCGCAACAGGCAGAAAACCTGACAGCGAAGAGAGAAAAAGCAAGCGACATGATAACAAATATCAGCAAACTAAGAAAGAGATGGAAAGAGCAACAAGGAGCAAAAGAAAAACAAACGTTACAATTTTATGGTGAATTTGCTGGAGCTGGTCCCCCCAAAAGTTAAACTCGTTGGGTTCCATGTTGGTTTCCGTCGTGGGTTCGACGACCGCACCTGGGGGACACAGCGGGTTGATGGAGGAGAGCCTGACCAGGGGGAGCATACGGGGAGACAAAATGTGGCCACCAGCCCAGATTCAGCCCAAAAACGTTCAAATGGCACATTTTCGCCTTTACCAAGTGTAAAGGAAAACTAGGATCCCTAAATCCATTCAAATCCGGTTTTTATTTTTTACTTGTTGTTTTTTCTGCTGTTCACTTCCTCCAACGAAATGCCCATTCAGGCTCCAAGTTAGTTTTCGGGTTCCTGGAGTCTGGTATGCAAAAAAAACAACAGTCCAGATTCAACCCAAGCATGCTGGGGAAAACATTCACCAAATGCCACTAGACCTAAGAAAAACTAGGGCTGAGTGGCGCAACATGCTCCAAAATGTGCTTCCCCATCCCACCCCAGGAGAGAGGGGTTCCTTCTTGATGTTTTTTTATTTGTGTTGGTGCCAGGCCTTCTGCCAATAAAAATGCAGACATGGGTGGGGAAGAATGATAAGGTTCTTTCATGACAAGGTTCAACTTATGTTTTTTAAAAAAAATATCGGTTGGGTTCCATGTTGGTTTCGGCTGCAAACCAAAGCCACACATGCAAAGCCTTGCTGCAAGCGACGGCTCACGGAGCACGGACATCGGGGTTTTGTTTGGTTGGCTTCCATGTTGGTTTCCAGCTTTCAGGGTATGGGGGAGGTCACCATGGGAAGGTACCATGGGGGTCCATGTTGGGTTCCATGTTGGTTTCCAGCTTTCAGGGTATGAGGGAGGTCACCATGGGAAAGGTACCGTGTTGGCTTCCATGTTGGCTTCCATGTTGGTTTCCAGCTTTCAGGGTATGGGGGAGGTCACCATGGGAAAGGTACCATGGGGGTCCATGTTGCTTCCATGTTGGCTTCTTGGCTTCCATGTTGGTTTCCACTTTCAGGTTATGGGGGAGGTTACCGCGGGGGTCCATGTTGGCTTCCATGTTTCCAGCTGTCAGGGTATGGGGGAGGTCACCATGGGAAAGGAACAATGGGGGTCTTGGTTTCCAGCTTTCAGGGTGTGAGGGAGATCACCATGGGAAAGGTACCGTGGGGTGGGGGTCCATGTTGGGTGCCATGTTCGCTTCCATGTTGGGTTCCAGCTGCCAGGGTATGGGGGAGGTCACTATGGGAAAGATATCGGTTGGGTTCCATGTTGTCTTCCATGTTGGTGTCCAGCTTTCAGGATACGGACCGGGTGCTCCAGGCGGACCTGCCCCTGTTGGGTCGAAGTCCTCGAGCCGCTGCGTCTCCCTTTAGGTCAACGTGGAACCTAACTTGGGACCTGGTAAGTGTCCCCGTGCCCGGAGGCCCCACCCGAGCTTCCCCTGTCGGGTCGAAGTCTTCGAGCCGTTGCATCTCCCTCGACGTCCTCGAGCAATTGTCTCGAGCTAACTTGGAATTCCCCGGTAAGTGTCCCCGTGGCTTTGGCGCCCGGAGGCTCCGCCCGGAGCTTCCCTGGTGGGTCGAAGTCCTCGAGCCGTTGCGTCTCCCCCGCCCGGAGCTTCCCCTGTTGGGTCGAAGTCCTCGAGCAAGTGTCTTCTGTTGGGTTAAGGGGGAATCTAACTTGGAACCCGTTAAGTGTCCTTGGGGCTTTGGCGCCCGGAGGTTCTGGCCGGAGGTCCTCCCAACGGGAAGGCTACAATGAGAAAATGAAAAATGTTACGTTTATGGTGGGTAAATGGGAAAAAGTATCTGTATAACATATCAAAAATCGAAAAGGATCAGGGTTCAGATAAGGGGGAGGAGTTGTGCAGAGGCTTTTGGTAGGTACAAAACGCAATGCATACGGTGCGCAACTACAAAATTCAGTGCATACCTTTTTTGCAGCTACCAAATACAGAACACAACCTTTTCTGACTCGGAAAATAATTCAACATCAGCACTACAAAATCCAATGCATCTGAAGTTAAAAAATAGCTGAAAATCGGAATTGCTAACATGATTTTTCCCAATGACATTTTGTAGTTGGGTCTATGCCATCCAAAGTTCCGACCAACATAGTTTCGGAGAACATTTTGTAGTTGTCAATGATTGAACTTAGTTGGATCAAGTGCTGACCCCGTGCAATTTGTTAGATGGCATTCTGTAGCTTCATGATCTGTTTGTGTCCACGTACATGTCACGCAC